TCATTTCGTTATTCACGCCGCCAGAAATTTGGAAACGGCATGCTGTACTGCTTAAAATTCGAACCGGAGGCTCCAATACGAACATTTCAGAGTGTTTGGACATCAATCTGAGAACAGTGCAGATGATTCGAAAATAGTAGGATGGGTCTAATGTTGATTTTGAAGGTACGGCAGCTAGGGAAAATCAATTTGCTCCTTTTGATAAGAAACGAACTATCGAATGTGTGGGTGAGAGCATCAGTCTCAACACGGAGCCCTACATGAAGTACCTTAAGGAGATAGGGCTGCCCTGGATAAGAGTGTGGTTACTAGAAGAGACTGTGTATGGCAAAAAGATTTTGCACGATGTCACGCAATGTTGGTGTTATTTTCATTTTTGCGTGATTGGGACGACAATATATCCATCGCACACTGTATACCAGCAAATGGAACAGTCCAAAATCCGAACTACGAAATGAAGACATCAGAACAAAGAATGTAAGAAAATATAAATAAGTCGGGATTGTTTTAATACAGAACGTAAAATGTGACAAAGGAAACGGAAGTCGTATTTGTATAACAGAATAGTAAAATATTAAGAAACAGTAAAATTGCGTTATAAACAAAGAAGAGTTTGTGGAACTTTTATGTAATATCGATCTTCCTATATGTCCGTAATTTCTATACCATCTACTCACAGATGTGACTTGAGGCAACAGAAATGTGACTCTAGAGAAGAATGCCGAGAAGAGCATGGTCGAAGTACGAGAACAACGATGACGTTTCAACGAAAATGGACAGAAGAAGCACATTTATATTTAGAATCGAAAAGTTAAAACCAAAATTTATAAGGCACGGAATAAGGACTGAAGAATAGCGTAATTTGATACTCACAGAATGTTTGGAAGTCAAGAATGATAGGAAATAACTTACCTAATAATCCTGTGCAAATGGTTGGCAAGGCGGAATGTAAGAAGGACAGTAAAATGACAAACTTTACTAAGAGCTACAAATAACAAGTCTTGAAGAGAAACTACATATAGTAGATGAATCTCTCTCAGTCTCGATCGATAACGACGAAACCTCTATTAAATCAAACTATTAAAACAATATCAATATTCAAATTAGCAAAAATACCGAACTGAATTGTAATGTTTTAATCTGTGCACTCATTGAATAAAAATTAAGAGAATAAAAATAGTAAGGCGTAATGAACAATAAGAATTAAATATATTGTTGTTTTGCACTTTTGCTTAAATATTGATGGGTATTATTTAAATTTCACACCAGTATTTGGAGGCCTTCGTTGAGTATTACGAGATCTCCCCGACCCCCGTATATGTTTTCCCTTTTTTCATCTTTAAATTCCTGGTAATCTTCTCGGTGACCTTGCCATATTTCACGCCGTGAATATCTGAAAGGATTGTGTGAAATTTCTTTTGTTCGCTTTGCTTACGAGTAGATCCTGTTTCGAGGCTTAGAGAAGATGATCCTTTTACATATTTCGCTTTTCAAAAGTCGGTTTTACATATTCTGCATCCTAAGAGTAATCTTGTTCATACCATTTGTTTGCCACAGTGGCAGGTCCTAGAATTTCTTCTATTCCCTTGAATACACCTTCTTTTCTTTCACGCACATTAAGCACTGATATGGCTTTGGATTTCATCGTCAGATATAGGTGGAATACATATTTTGATTTGCGAAGATGATATATTCCGTTTTTCTTTTAAATTGTGCTTGCGATTTATCCCGTAAGTTCCTTGGATTTTCTCTAGGGTTCAACGTGGATTAATTTCTATTTTTATTTTAACTTACAGTTTCTACGTTTTCATATCGAATGCTTATCATTTCACAGGACTCCATTTTCCGCCTTTCCAGTTAGACGTGAACAGTCCCAGAATTAAAAGAAGTGAAACATTAGAACGTAACAGTGTTTAAGGAATTTCGGATATGCCAAAAGAGAATCTGATATGTGAAAGCTTTTAACTTCATATGTTAAGAAAAATTAACCGTTGATTTTTCTGTAAATATTTTGCTTATATTTATTATCAACCTTTTGCAGTTTATTGAAAGCCCCGAAATATATTTATGTTGTAAGAATATTATTTGGGTTAGTAATGATTTAATGAGGCCGCTCGGATTGACGAATCGGAGAGCCGGGTTCGAGTTCAAATCGAATCCATTACATTCACTTACGTGCTAATATCCTTGGGAAAGGTATGAATATTCTTACTTTCTCCCCAGCTATGGGTAAATAGCAGTGTACACCGGGTTCTTGGATGGCAATTAGTCTATCTCAGAAAGAGATGGTATTCTGCTGCGGGAAATATTCTGCCTCGTCAGTCAGTTATCGAAAGATATGTGATCGCCTAGGTATATATCACGCATGACACAAAACTGACTGAATGATTTACTGATAAGTGTTCTTCTGATTAGCTCAAACTTTGAAGAAGAAGACGTTGATTCATATATTTCCCCACGGTATTTGCGGGCAAATGAATATAAAAAAAGACAGACTGGAATTTGAACTAAGCTGTCCAAATTCTAATTTCGAAACGATATCCGTTGTTCCACCCAATTGTACATGCTTACGAACCTTGTATTCCCAAGTAATGACACATTTAGGTATTGACCAGACTCGACGTAGCTTAAATTCGATGATCGTAAGAGAACCAGTATTTTAACGTGAAATAGTTGTATGGTCGAATTTGATGAGAACAAATTTACTATCTAGGATGTCATATTAATGAAAGCATATTATGTACATAATATGTTATATCAGCGTGTGTTATATCGTGTCGAGTTCAAATTCAGGTAGAATCTGTTGTTATTCTCTTCGCCTCGCGGTGAACATGAAATAGACTCTCTAGATTTCGTTGTCATCATGTCTAGGAGGAAGACTTTAAAATCTAAATATTTTGGACTTGGAGCTACCATCTAATTTCTAAATAAACCAGGTTTGTTTTGGTTTCTTTTCTTTTACGGCATATCAAACTAAGTGGATTATTTAATACTGACAGGATTTTTATTTTTGGCAATTTTTTTTTTAATAAAAATGAATTGATGGGAAAATATTATGTACAAAAAGAGATTGCTGGAAAGATTTTTTTTCAGAAAAAAAATTGCTGGTAATTTTTCTCCAAAAATGTGTTGCTGGTAATATTTTTTCAAAAAAAAAAATCTATTGCTGGTAACTAACACACACACACACACACACACATATATATATATATATATATATATATATATATATATATATATATATATATATATATATATCTTCCAACTTGATATTGAACACATTTAATGTATGCAATTTTAACAAGTATCTTGCTGTTTGTTTACTTTGGCGTATCTACCTGTTTGTCTCCCCTGTATATACATATATATATATATATATATATATATATATATATATATATATATATATATATATATATATATATATATTTGAAAAAAACAGACCACTTTAAGGTTCCATGTAATAAGTTATTTCACCACAACCCTTTTAAATGGCTTTGGATCATCAGACTTTACTTCCGAAAGTTGAAATGAAAAATGAAAAAAACTTTTTGACGGACCAAGCATATGTAAATATGGAACCTTAAAAGTGGTCTGTTTTTATTCAAACATATTTGCTCTAATTTTCAATGAGCTCTCTGGATATCATCCTCCTTGGGTCTACCCATACAGATTAACTAGTTTTGCATAAACTATATATATATATATATATATATATATATATATATATATATATATATATATATATAAATATAATATTTATTTACATTTATTTGAAAATATCTACACTGGTTCATAAAATGAAAATTTAAGGAAAGTGAAAAATAAAGGTGCTTTTTTTTTTAAAAATCAGAACCATATAGAGTGGATTTCTTAGGCTCACAATAAGGAATAAAGGCTTGGTGCCTGTGACACTCACAGAAAATATTAACTTATAGACTGACAGAGGAAAGCAGCGAATAACTTTCCTAACGTAAGTAAATGCTTCTTAGAACAGTGTTTAGAAGAGACAGCTCAAGGACCAAACTTCCTAAGAGATGCAACGTAACGAACGTTGTTGGTTGATTTTGTTTAGCGGCGTATAAAACACGATAGTTAATTTAATGCCGAAATCAAAATAATTCGGACAAAATTTTATGGCTTGAACTAAATATATATTTTGGCACAATTGTAGGCTTACTACTACATGTAAAATATATTAATGCTCATCTTGCTTTAAAAATGTGTTGTAGGTCATATATATGTAAAAAAAATGCCGATATGTTTACTATAAAAATGTATTTTTATACTTTCGTAGTATTTTGACATTGCTTAGGAGTTCATTATTTACTCATAGATATGAAGCTAGCTGGTGCTACAACCCCGGGTCAGGATGTATCTGAGAAGAACAATTAAGAGATCTTTTCACACTCCACGGAACCTCCAATCTCCCAATCAGAGGCCTTGCTACCGCTTGTACATTATTGTAATACAGAAGAATACCGGAAGTTTTGGAAAGCTGCAATTGCATTTCCTGAACGGACAAAGCACGTAGAAGAAAAGCTCTCATGATTATCATTCACTTACAATAATCTATTTTTTTTTTCTGGTTTTTGTATGTGATTCAATAATTTTTAATGGTGGTTGCGTACTGTTTATCCATTCGTTTATTCACAACGCATCTGAGGAGACATATTTTTGGAATACAATGCTTATGCAGGATTATTTGGTTTATTGTTTGTTGTTCGAAATCTTGAAGACCAATTTTCTTCTAAGAAACAACGAATAAAGTATACCATTTTTTTCGGATATTTCCCGTTCACTTACCATTTTACAATGTTTTAGTATCGTTCCTTAAGGCTTTCCTATTCAGTAAAATTCCTATTCTTTAATATTATTTACGTCTTTTTTCTTTCTTTCATTTACATACCTATCTAGCTAGCTAGATAGCAAGCTAGCTAACAAGCTATGTTCACTTGTAATTTATCTCATATTTTATCTATATTTCTTATCTATCTGAGATTGTGTCTCTGTTTCTGATCTATGTATTCATATCTATCTATCTATCTATCTATCTATCTATCTATCTATCTATCTATCTATCTATCTATCTAAGAGTATATCTCCTGATCTATCTATCTATCTATCTATCTATCTATCTATCTATCTATCTATCTATCAGCCTAAGAGTATATCTCCTTCTGATCTATCTATCTATCTATCTATCTATCTATCTATCTATCTATCTATCTATCTATCTATCTATCTATCTATCAGTCTGTTTCTTTCTTTCTTCCTATCTGTCTATCACAGTCTGTTTCTATCTATCTATCTATCTATCTATCTATCTATCTATCTATCTATCTATCTATCAGCCTAAGAGTATATCTCCTTCTGATCTATCTATCTATCTATCTATCTATCTATCTATCTATCTATCTATCTATCTATCAGTCTGTTTCTTTCTTTCTTTCTTCCTATCTATCTATCACAGTCTGTTTCTATCTATCTATCTATCTATCTATCTATCTATCTGCCTAAGAGTATATCTCCTTCTCATCTATCTATCTATCTATCTATCTATCTATCTATCTATCTATCTATCTATCTATCTATCTATCACAGTCTGTTTCTTTCTATCTATCTATCTGCTTAAGATATATCTCCTTCTGATCTATCTATCTATCTATCTATCTATCTATCTATCTATCTATCTATCTATCTATCGCATGCGCATAAACGTAATACTATTCTCTCTACGGTTCGAGTGTAGTATCAGGTCTAGTGACTTGGAATGAGTTTTGCTTTTTGACTGAGAAAACTATATGACAATATTATGCTGAAATGGAACAGCGAAGGGGATTATAATAATGAAGTGTAGAGGCAAAAAAAACGTAAGTATAGATGCTAAGAACACTCACGAAAACAGCTGAATAATGTTAAACATATAAAGCAAAATAAATGGCCGAGATGTATATCAAGATGTAAATCAAGAAAAATAATTCAAATATTAAAATACACAAAGCAACTGAAGGCGCACAAATTCTGACAAGTTGCAATTGTTCATAGAGAAATAACGAGAAAAGAATGTTAAATTTTGGAAAAAAAATTTTGTAATCATTCTCTCTTTATCGTATACAAAATTATTCTGTGCTGGTAAAAAGTTCAAACAAAAACATGTAAGAAGATTCGCAGAAACAATAGCAATAATCAGAAAATGTCAGCACTATTGTAGCTTGCCAAAATAAATCAAATAGTGTTTAACGTCTTCCAGGAATAAACAACTAATGTGCCAAAAAAAAAAGGAATCGAAATAAAATTAAGAATTCCAGAATACAGACAAAAATCTCTGCGGACGTGTGATACTACTGCAAGGTTCAGTGTCCCCGGCTCTTATCAGTAACTACGATAATATATAATTATTTAGAACGGATCGAGTGTATTCTAGCCTGGAGCGGCTATATCAAAGTCTAGTCTATTTTATCGCCGAGTGTATAAATTTTAGAATATAATTAATAACATGACTGTGCAAGAAAATGTCTACCTTAGAAACATCCCCGGATATACCCTTAGCTAAATGGATATTTTGAGACACCAAGTTACAAAAATAACAGTAATTTAAAACAGTAGAACATCTTAGTTGTTATTACACCTGTAATGCCCACATATTCAATTAGTTATGGTTAACATGTTTTCTTACCGGTGCCTCATTGTCTTTCACATAACCGGAGAGACACCTTGCAACAAAACGAGGTTTTGTTGCTATGCTTCTCGTAGTAAATAAGTTTGCAAGTGATTAATTTACTCTTATTTTAATTACTATCCATTAATATTAAATTATTTCTAATTAAATAAATATTTAAAAAAATAATAGTATCTTTCTTTAGCGATGTCTATTAGACAGGAAGCACCTATTAAAAAACATTATTCTACTGACTTGGATTCATTTAGTGACTTTATTCGAGACGCCAATTGGATATATATTCTTATACCTGCTATAGAGAATTGTACTACAGAGGTATCTTCTTGTGTTAAAGCTGGCATCGATGATTTAGACTTTCACAGAAATACAAGGTGAAACTACAATATTCTCCATAGTTCACACCTGCCTATTCAGCCACAGAAGCCGATAGTGATCACTTTTTACCAGCGTGATATTGTCCATTACAACGTACGTCTATTTGTGTCTACTCGTAATAATTGTAAACTTGACCTCAAAGATGCTCATTCATGGGTTGCTGACAAGAATGAGTCACCGTATAGTCTCTAGCAAATTTGATTCTCGTGATTACTAGCGGTTCTATAATAGTGTGATAAATAAGAGTAAGTCTTCTATCCTTCCCCTCTTCACTCAGTTTTACGTACTGACATCACCTCCTGATAAAGCAGAATATTTTCTCGTAAATTCCCTTCAAACTCTACTGTTCATCTCCAGTATCTTTGAGTGACTTTCCACTTAGAACTGAGTTTCTTTTCTGGGATATGTATACAGCTCCTTCGGTGTTTGTTCCTACCATCGTTAAAATGGATACCTAACAAAAGTGTGGGGACATGATGGTTTCGCTGCAATACTCCTTAAGAAATATAATACTGGACTGGTCCCTGTTCAGCTTAACTAAACGCTAACAGAAATGAATTGCTTTTTCTTGCTTATCTACATGTTAGACATCCTCTTATGTAGTCCCATTCTTTAAGAAATAAAAACGAACAGTCTTATGCGTTTAACTAACGGGCTATTCGCATTTTTTCACTTTTTTGCAAATTAGTAAGAGCTCAAATTATCTCTAAAACTCATATAGCTGGGTTTTCTTTCAGATAAGCAATACGGTTTCTCTAGACCAGCTGCTGATGCATTAACGATTATTGCTGAATGATTTAGTTAAGAAAGCTGAAGATCAAAGTGTTTTTTTTGGATATTTCAAAGTCATTTGACACAATTTGATATGCTGGTCTACTTTACAAGTAGAAAGGTTATGGCAACTAAAACGTTTAAAAATGATTTCTCTTTGAATGTACTTATTCTAAATCGTTTTGTATTAATACAGTTGTCCTCAGGGTTATATCATTGGACCTACATTGTTGCTAATTTTCTTTAAAGATCTTTCCGATATCATCAGCTCTCAACTTCGTACCTATGCGGCTAATGCAACTATTTCCTCGTGTCTTAATACATTTTAATACATTTGATAGGTTCAACAATGAAAAATCCTCAGCTTACCTAAAAACAATAACCCAGAATCTACTGTCAATTGTGAGGCTGACTTGTTAATTTTAACGCACCTAGAAGGAAACTGCCCTCTTTTAATTGTCTGAGGGAACCTTATTTAATTTCATCAGCATGACTGATGCTAAACACTAAGAGTGTTTCCAAATGCTAAAATAAAGTGGAAAGATTATATTGAATCAATTTTGACTTCTGCTCGCAGGAATATTGCTTCACTGAGCTGTGTTCGGTCATTTTTCTCACCAGAACCAATCTTACATCTATACGTCTACCTTACTACCATGCGTTGAATATTGCTATCATACCGGGTTCGGTGTTTCCACTATACATTTAGAGATTCTTGATAAATTCCTAAAAAAATAAATCTGCAATTCTTTTCGTCCTGTCCTGTCATTTTATCTTCAGTCACTTTCCGAATGCTGTAACTGTAGCTTCCCTGTGCCTTCTATATACATATATTCATGTTAATTCTTCCGATGAAATATATTTTATATTACCTAGATGTTATGAATTTAAGTGCAGTCCTAGATTGACAGCAAGTTTTTCTATAGCTCTTCTATTTTATTTCTTTACAATCAAGTTGATCTTCGAAAATCTAAATGTCGTGACAATCATTACATTTTGTCTTCATAAATCTTCAGTAATGTTTTTGTTGTTAAATTCTCTAATACTCAGTAACACCTCGACCTTTTTTATGCCTTAATTGTGGTGAAATGATTTTAAAAGAATCTAGCCCTATAACCAACCGGTTTCGAATACAGATTACTCATTCTGATATTGCAGTTGCCAACTAAATCTTATGAACCCAGATCACACTGGTATTTAATCCATAGTTGGGAAGTGATAATAGATAGTTTAATACCTTTCCCAATTATAGTAATAACCAACCAACTGAGATTCGAACTAGACATTTTTCATTCCGATTAAATATTCGTTACACCACCGGCACATCAATTGTGTTAGATTAGATTTTAAGTGAAAGTAAGTTTCCACTCTTCACGTTAATTTATTTTTTAACAGTGTTGTTTTATTTGTTTTTTTATCTTGATTTACACGATTTTTAATAGTCCATTAAGCATTAACGTCAGTTTCATATTCCCAAACTTAGTTGGTTCTCAGGCGAGTTTCTGTTTTTCTCAAGTTTCAATTTGCTTTTAATTCGCAAATGTGATCATGTAAAACATTGGAACTGTCTTACATTTATTTTCTATTATTTTTATTTGAATTAGACTAAGACTTAGCGATATCTTTGACAATCAAAATTCCAGAAAATCCTTCTTTCTCATTCTCTGAAATTTATTTGGTTTTCAGCTTATAACATGAGTTTCTCTGGTCAAATTTCAGTTGATTGTATATTTCCAAGCGTAAGGAATGTCACAACAAAGCAGTTATATTTTTAATCTCGTTTTGAACTAATATGTTATCAGCTTGCATTGTCTCGTTCATTATATCATCCCAGTATTGGCATTTGCATTTTTATTCAACCGTTTCTTGAATCTCTTGCTCTTAAATAATCGTTATATTTGATTGTTTTTTCTACAGAGTGCCCTATATATACCAGAACATATTAGATTTGACTATATGTTGAAAGATAGAAAATTATTTACTACATATTATACTATATTAATGTATTAAAACAATTAACTAATATATAACTTTGTTAACCATTTGTTGTTCTAGGATGCTGCAGTTATCGAATTTTCAGAGTGAAGTGTTTGTTCTCTTTAAGAAGGAACGTCCAACTCGGGTATTGAAAGAATGCCAAGACATTATGCCAGAGATTTTTAGTTTGAACATCATATCTAACATTTGTGTTTTTTGTTCTGCTTTAAGCTATTAAATGTCTATACTTTGCATTTGTTTCAAATAACTGTAGCAAAAATTCCAACAATTAAATAAACACCACCTAATTTCCTGCTTTTGTGGAGTACCCTTTATTATTAATTCTTAATTACAAATCTTCTCTTAGGAAAGATGATTCACCTATAAGTCTTTCAATTTGTCTTCTGAATTGTCCGTAACATTGCATGCCTTTATTCTTTTTGCCTTTATTTACCTTGCCTTTGTGTTATGCAAATTATATCAATTTATTGTACTCTCAGGTTGCTTGCAGTCACTACCAAGTACACTGACTGGAAATAAAACAGTATCCTCTATAATGCAATGCATGTTCTATCTTATTTTCGTTTTGGCTTACAACTAAGCAGTTCCATCTGTGAGTTGAAAGCATTAGGAAATATTATCAGTTTTCAAGTTTTGTAGTCCCGATTCTATTTAAAAGATATCTGAAAATCACAGATGAGAAAGTTTTCTGTTAAATTATTATTTGATAACCTTCTGTTCGTAAGTTAACTTTTGTAATATTTTTTTTTCTGATTCTACTAAATTATTTTTCTAATATTCCTTTAATTTAAAGACCATATTTGCTACAAATAATTTGCATATGACTGAAAGGTAATTCTATCATCAAAAATTCTGATAATTTTCACTATGTATAGTTCGAGCCTTGTTCTGATTCCTAATGCATTCTATTTTGAATCGGGTTATATGCTTTCATTTGTATTATACTGTGTTACGTGTTCATTCCAGGTGACTACAGTTGAGAACTAGAGATTAAATAACAAATAGCTTTCCTTTTAAAATCCCAAGCCATTTCCTCAATCTTCTGTTTTTAAATATTGTTATTAATTGTAATTAATTATTTCTAATTTATGAGCTTCATGTTATCGTCCACTTTGTACATCGCTTTCGTACAATGTTACCGCTACCTCAGTATATGGTAAATATATATATATATATATATATATATATATATATATATATATATATATATATATATATATGTGTGTGTGTGTGTGTGTGTGTGTGTGTGTGTGATTTGAATTAAGATAATGCCACCGACAGTATGTGCCCAAACATTAAAAGCGAGATCATTTCTAATGTTACTTACATTGCGCCGAATACATTGGTCTCAGACATATAGTGTAGATGTTTCTTTCGGACAATAAGAAAATACCAGCATTGATATATATATATATATATATATATATATATATATATATATATATATATGTGTGTGTGTGGTTAGATAGATGTTAGCTCTATCTCTGATATTGAGCGCTTTCTAATAAGTACCGCGCATATAATATCTAAATAATTATACATATATATATATATATATATATATTTATTTTATATACACTTGTCACACACACACACACACACACACACACACACACACATATATATATATATATATATATATATATATATATATATATATATATATATATATGTATTCCGATGCTGGGATACAGTTTATTTCTTTTTTTCGTGTAAAGGAAATATCACATTTTATCGGATTATTTCAAGAAAAAAATTGAGTTTATTCTATTTGTTTGTTTTACAGTATAGTTCTGTCACTTTTGATGGATATAATATAAAGTGTTATATATATATATATATATATATATATATATATATATATATATATATATATATATGTGTGTTTTGTCTTTCTGTGTGTGATTTTGTGCGTGTATATATATATGTATATATATAGATAGATAGATAGACAGATAGATAGATAGATAGATATAACAGAAATACCTTTCAGTGGCAAGGAAGTTTTAATGGATATTTTCAAGATAGTTTTTGTTGGGTAAAACCCCTGATATTCGTCAATCCAAAGCATCCATAAAATAACGAATTCGAAACCTAATTGAAAAAAGCGTAAATATCGCTTTTTTTAAGGGAATTGAAAGCAATATTAATAGTTTTTCATTCTGTCGGATTCTGATGCATATTTGATTTATATTTGACCCCAACTCAATATATATATATATATATATATATATATATATATATATATATATATATATATATATATATATATATGTGTGTGTGTGTGTGTGTGTGTGTGTGTTATAATTGCATTGTCGAGTGAAGAAAATATTCACTTTTTTACAGTAAAGAAACATCATATTTTTAACTGAATTATTCAACGTGTGTTTCTTGGGCAATATCCCAAACTAGTCGACTTTTATATATTTATTTTTATAGCATATGGTACAGACTAAATGCGTGATATAAATACACACTAGAAATGTAATTTTAAAATCATTTAGATTGAATTGATTAACCTAGGCATTAGTTATAATCAAAGACAAGCAGAAAAATATCAGTTTCTTTTCAGATATACCCAGTAATGCGACTTGACAAAAGTAAACACTGAGGATAAACTTGCAGCCTGCCTTGCAACGTTTGTCCGACGTCGGTTTTATTCTGACATGTTCTGTTATTCCTGCGACGACTCCGACAGTATCGACATCTTCTATTTCATTTGAAAAGAGTGGATGTGTGAAGTGAATAGACATGCCCTATGGGCAACTGTCGATCTATCATAAGTAATATCATCCCCAGGAATCTGTTCAATACATCGGCAAAAACAGATTGACATGACTAGCCAAATTTAAGTATAAAATTTCCATGTGCAGATATGTGGTGAAACGAAAATGACGTAGACCTCACTTAATATTTCATATATATTTATATTTCCCATCTTATTCAGTTTGTTGTATCACCGTTTTTGGGGTTTTTTTTGTGTATTTTTTATTATGTTTATATATCCTATCACCCAACATGGCATTGTGCAATTGATGTCACACTCCTATTAGAAATCGACGGCCGTCAGTGAAAATTATATAGTGGCACTTTTACTTCTCTCCATGGGAATTATGCTTATTGTTTAATAATTTTTTCATGAACGTCATCATGTCTTTCTCAGAATTCTAAATTTTCCTAATCTCAATACAAGTACTTTTGCCATTTTTCTGTTTCGTAATCTTTTTAGATGTCTGGCGATTAGCTTTGGTTATTCAGTCTCTGTATTGTAAATTTCTATATGATTTTTATAAGATCTATTTCTGTAACCGGGCCTGGTTGATGTTCATGCCAGTTACATGCAGTTTGTTTCCCGAGAAATTTGCATATTTATCCGTGCAGTTATTGGCCCAATCGACCATGCCGAGTTTTACAGTGATTCGATGTAACATATTGCAACCTGATACAAGATGTTCAGTTGTTTCTGGGGATTTATCGCAGAATCTACATTTATATTATTATTATTATTATTATTATTATTATTATTATTATTATTTGTGTTGTTATTTTTTTTTCTTTGATTTCTGGCGTTTACATTTCTTGCCGGGTCCCGCCCAGGGGACCTAAGGTTAGAAATGGCGTCATGACACTTTCCACTGACAAAAAAAAAAAAAAAAAAGATTACATAGATAAAGCCCTTCGTAAGGTGTGGGCTGTACTTGTCAGAACAATTTTCTGTATCTCCTTGAGGCATGGACTTCCAGGAATCCCTTTCAATTAGTCTACTGGAATCTTTTCCAACCAGTCCTCGGGCTCCAACTACAACAGGGATTGTTGATGTTCCCATATACCACATTTTCGCGATTTCTATTTCAAGGTCCTTGTACTTTGACAAATTAATATTATTATTGTTATTATTATTATTATTATTATTATTATTGTTGTTGTTGTTATTGTTATTATTAATATTATTGTTATTATTAGTATCATTAATGTTATTATTATTGTTATTATCATTGTTGCTATTTTTATTGTTATTGTTATTATTATTGTTATTATTAATATTATTTTATTGTTATTATTATTGTTATTATTATTATTATTATTGATATCGTTAATATATTTTTTGATCGTAATATCTTTGATCTCTTTCATTATATAAACGCCTTGATTATTAGCAAATTATTTTGAAATTAATTCAACTTTATTTTGCTTTCAACATTTAGAGATTCATACCATTTTTAATAAATTGAGTTTTGATTCGATTTGTTTGAAATTATAATTCAATGAACCTCTCGTTATTTTCTTATTAATTCTCTTATCGTCTTATTCAATTATAATTTATAATTCTCATTATCTATTTCCCGTCCTTCTCTTCGACCAATTTAAAAACGTGCGTGATTTTTATTGCAGTTCAAAGTTCATTCATTCATTCATTCATTCATTCTTCTTCTTCATCTTCTTCTTCATCTTCTTCTTCTTCTACTACTACTATTAATACTACTACTACTTATTATTATTATTATTTGCTACCCCTTTTATTGTGAAAATGTTTTTCTTTTTCGATCGAATCCCGGCACGTCTGGGTTAGTCACGAATCCTGTTAATTTGATTCCACTTAGAACACGATTTGCAGGTTGTAACAAAAACACTGAATCCGGATAAGTGCAATGTATAGAGTATGACGAACAATAGCCGTGGACATTACGACAAGCAAAACAATGTCACCCGAAAAGAAATCCCTCACATTATTAACAGAATCATTATCATAGTTATCAACATAAGCCTCGCCATTAGAGGTATTTACTATATCTAACCTAGTCCGGCTCAAGGATATCTGTTCTTAATTGTGTAGAGATCTAAATTTAATTCCGTCTCAATCAATACCAGTCTACAGTGAGATAATAGATGAAAATTCACTGCCGCGTATGTGATAACAACTCGTTTGTTTTTTCCTAACAATATTTTACTATCCATTAATATTTTGCTTCTAGAAAATATAATTTGATATTCTTATTTATCTTCGGATAGTTGTGCCACACGGTATGTCATCTATTCCATCAGTGAAATAAATAAGAAAAAATCATTTTAACCCAGATAAGGCAATAAAGCCACTGACGTGCAAAGAGTTAAGGAGTGTGAAAGAATAGGAGAAAAGGAAATCATTAACGTGAGAGAAAAATAAAATAAGAGAAATTAAGAAGACAAGAGAACAACAATAGACACTGCATTTAAATTTTAGAAGATCAAAGTTGATAGAAGATCAAGAAACAAGAGAATTCCAAGAGCGAGAAGTACGATAGAGGAAACTCTCAGCATAGGACTTACGGTGCATACTGTTGTTCAGATTATGCCCAGCGATAATGTATTTTTATGTGGCTCTTCCATTTCTCTTTGAATCGTTTCGTTGATTAAAAAAAAATCCCGTGAGAAGAAAAAAACATTTATTTATAAGACCTATTTCTATTTTCACTGAAGTATATTTACTGAACTCCCTCTTGTTTACTGATATTTGTGCTATTAATGTCCATGATAATCATATATGATCATAAACTACCGTATTTGACGCACGTTTTATACTAAAATATCTTGGAAAATTCCCCTGCGTCTTATATACCATATGTAGGTATAAAATTCGCGATAGTCGGCTGAAATTAGCTACCTGGCAACTCCTATTAGCATAGATTTAAATATGAATGAGCAATGGAGCACGTGCATGCCAATGCCTGATCACGACCTTACACTTACAGGAAGAATAAAAAGATCCAGCATTTCACAAGTCTGCGAATGGGTGAAGCAAGCTTTCGATAATATTAGACCAGAAATTGTTGTGAAATCTTTTAAAAGGTGTGGCATTAGCAATGCTCTCAATGGAACGGAAGATGACGCATTATTTAACGACGATGATAGTAGTATTCAAAATGAATATCAGAATTTTGAATAACAAAGACGACGAATTTTATGGATTTGAAGATGAATAAAATTTTAATGGTAACTGCACTGTTTCGCTCAAATGTAATAATTGCTTAATTTTTATTCCGTTTTCTTACCTTTGGCTATAATAAAGGTTTTATAGGCTCGTATTCATTTTTCCTATTATTTTTCGTTTAATTTTCATCATGGCTTGTTTAACCAAAATAATACCTCATAATTATAGCCTATGCTGTACTATTTTCAAATAAGTTTACTAATTTTACTAATTACTATTTTTTTCTTGATTTTCTCTGCTGAAATTGGAGTGCGTCTTATATGCCGTCTAATGGGTTATATGTCACTATTACGATTTGACAATAGTTTTATGTTGTTTCAAGTTTCACATTAGCCACGACACTGAAAACAAGAAAAATGAATTACTAGCCACTCGTATCCGATTAAGCCTGTCAATTATGGCGGCTAGCCAATCCTTTTTGCAAACTCCTGCTTGAACATATTTATGTTTAGCCAACACTCGACTACGGTTTATGTTACAACTATGCTGAGCGAACCTGAGTTACAGTTCTGGGAGATAACATATTATCTGGCGTGATCAACAGTCTTAAAAATCCACTACGGTCAAACCCTCGGTCACAATGACTTATGACTTTTTTGCTATCACAACCATTGACGGAAAGCGAAGGTTCTAACAACTTGGACATGGTACTCATGAAACTAAGGCAAATCGTACATTGAGAGCATTTGCCAAATTAGAGGGTTTAAAAGTGAACTCTGGGACTCATTTTCATGCCTGCTTTATGTATAGCGAACATATTTGCATGGATGGAAGACAGACACCGCATAATACTTATTGGCAAGTTACGTCTGACGGCGCAATAAATGTATGCTAATTGCAATCACTTTTTTCTTAACTTTCGCCATCATATTGACCATAGGCTTACGGACATATCACGTTGGAACATAAGTCCTCGTACCATCAACGTCGAATCTGGTCAGTAGCAGGATGGGTGAACGTTTGTGAATTTCAGGTGCTTAAAGCTTGCATGGACACTTGGTGAGATGTATAACGGTATGGGATTAATAGAAAACGGAGAATAGAGTTAAAATGTCAGTCGACTTCGGTATATTCATTTACGTGCAAATACCCTTGCGACAAGCATGAGTTCAACACTTCTACCCCACACAGCTATGTGTCAATTAATAATACTTGTGTGAGTAAATCATCATTATATCAAAAAGATTCTTAAAATATAAAAATATTTTCAGATCTTCAATAACCAGCAAAAAGTTGATAAACACTAAAAAAAATCAATCGATTAATTAAATAACTTGTTGACCATGACACCTATGAGTTTGGGCGGCGATCTATTCAGCCGGTTACTTCGAAACGAAAGCATGGGATGCGCTCTTATTTTCTTGGGGTAATGTTGAGTTTCAAAGCTGAACGGTTATTATCATCGTAAAAAAAACTCACTTATAATTTGGGAGCGTGCTAAACGTTTACGAAAATATCTTGACTGGGCAGTCTGTCTTAAATGTTGTTCTTCAACTCTAAACCCAGTTTTATCGAGCATGCATTGGTTTTATGACCTTTTGTGTGTATTTATGTCACACAGACCGCATCACATCCAAAACACTTGTCCAAATTGTAAAATTTCGGGAAAGGAATGCGGCTGGATTTTGTAATAACAATTGCGTTAATTTGTAACTTCATTCATTCACATATTCATTAGTTTTAGTTCGTCGATTGTGATTAACTTTTTTTCCTGAATACTGCATATCTTGCTGTCATTTTAACATCATCTGGAACTCACGAGAGATGCACTAATTAAACACTTATTATTACGACTAAAAACACTGCACAACAAATGCATTTTCTACGTTGCTAATTGTTAAAGCCACCAAATCATTAGTCGATCTGTCCGACCAGACCAATCAATGAGTCAAGGTATGTATTGAGGAAATTAATGCATGAATCTCTGGTCTTCAATATTGCCAGTTTTATTCGTTCTATCGTTGATTTTAAAGGGGACCTAGGTGGAATTTTCAATTTATCAATTATTAAATAATTGTTAATTTTTTCATGTTATAAAGTTATTAAACTACTCTATCTACTCAGCCTTATAACCTATTTTCACTTTTCAAACTCGCAAAGTGTATGTTGATTTTTAATATCTCCCTTCTATATAAATCGCAAACTGTTTCTCATTTGCTGACATTTTTTTTAATGGAGTTCACCCTAAGAAACTAAGACGCAAGTGGATACTGGGTGAGGATGAATTAAAAAACAGAAAACACTATGAAAGAGTGGGAACAATAGAGGAGTAATAAGAATAGAGTAGATAGCAACTGAAACTGTATTGAAATCTTTGAAGGTGAAAATTGACTGGAATGCATAGAGAAGTTTGAGAAAAGCATAATGCTTACGGTTACAGATAGCGAATTCAAATATAAATATGTCAGATTTTGTTGTAAGTTTAGTACTTCACTTAAATTCATAAAATCTAGGTGTCATAGCGAAGAGCAAGATTTATTTCCGCTTCAGTACAGAAAATGTAGCACAAAGCCAGAAATGGAGAATGGGGGAAAAGAATGTTCTTCTTCTGTCTTAACTTCAAATGTAGCTAACCACAAACACTGATCCAAATATACTACAATATTACTAACAACAAAACAAAAAAAATAATTTCCTTTCTTAATACACTCACCATAATACCTCAATGAAAATGCTAACTTGTCCCCATATGTACAGTTTATTTTCTGAAGGGGGAGAGAATAAAGCAGCAATTTAGAAAGTAACCCCAATAAGTATTTACAATATGGAAACAAATCTATTTATAAGACACCAATTAAATTAATGTTAGTAATACCCCCCCCCCAATCTTTAAATTTGGTAGAAACATCAGTTAACTGAAGGAAAGCAATGCGGGACTTTAGTAATATGAAACATTATTTCATCCCAAGCACCTCACACAAACACACTCATTCAGACACAACAAAAAATATGAAAAAAACACACCTGAAACGAAAGGCGCTTAACATCCACAAGAGAATTGGCATCACTGACCAGTAAACATGGGAAGGAATGGGGAATTAACCAACGAGAACATGGGGACGGAAATAAAAAGTGTATCATAGGGAAGAGCACATTCAAACAATAATTTATAGAAATAAGTAGAGAACAAATCCAATCCGATTGTAAATGGGCAAACACAGGTTTCTATCTTTGAAGACTTGAACATGCATAGTTTTACTAGTTTTTCCCTAAGCGAATGATCGGTAGGGGTCAATTTACCGAGTTGAATGTAATGGTAGGATGTAGGAAGAGAGGAATATGTGAATACGGTCATTTTAAAAAAGCATCTACGCAGATGTCTTGTTTAGAGAGCAGAACCACTTTGTAGAAAGTTATTTGAGTGAATCATCTCTACAATTGTTCTACGGATTTAATTAAGGTAGGTCGACACCGTAACATGGTTGTCCGTAGTTTATACAGAAAACTAAGCTGCCCATATTATAGTTTCTTGCATAATCTGTGTGACTGTGTTACTGTTAGTTTGGACTAGACAAGTACACTCAAACCCTCAGTTAATAATGACTTGTAACTTCGTTC